AGCCAATTTTCTGCCCCACCTATTTTAAAATTGCCCAAGGCTTCCATTATGAAGAGCAAACACCCAGTGTGGGAATTGAGGAATTCCCCCAGGCTGGCCCAGCCTCATCTCCACTCTTTCTTCCTCATCCTTGTTTCTCACAGCTGAGCAAGTGAGTGTCCCAGTGCCTTCCGCCTGCTGCATCTCCACCCTCTGTTCACTTGGATGTACGTACAATCCTGGTTTCTCTTTTTGTTCCAAGTCCTGGTTCCCAAGCCCCTTCCCTGGGAGCCCCTCGGGGCAGATCCAGTGCCTGTCTCCTCTTCTCAGACTACAGTGGAAGTCCTTCCACTACAGGTTTACTTATCTTTCCACTTTGATTGCTTTCAAAACAATTATAGTTTCAATATGTTCACAGCATGGAAAAATGCAAACAAGAGAATCATAGGTAATCACATGTCCCCTACTGTTTCTCTCTCTCTCTCTCTCTCTTTCTCTCTCTATGTCTCCCTGTTCCTCCTCCCTCCCCTCCTCTCTGAAATTCCTTGAGCTTCTCAGGGGAAGGAATATTTCTTATTCATCTTTGTAGCCCCTAAGTGCCCCCTACCCCATTACTGAACATTGGATGTGCTCTCTATGAATCTTAGGAATAATGCCTTCACAGGAAATGAAATTGGTTTGGAATGTTCTTCAATTATAGTAATGGGATCACTATCATTTTACATACAGCACTTACCATGAGACAATAGGGCATTTTTTTTATTGACAGGCAGAGTGGACAGTGAGAGAGAGAGACAGAGAGAAAGGTCTTGCTTTTCTGTTGGTTCACCCCTCAATGGCCGCTGCGGCCCATGTGCTGTGGCCGGCACACTGTGCTGATCCGAAGCCAGGAGCCAGGTGCTTCCCCTGGTCACCCGTGCGGGTGCAGGGCCCAAGCTCTTGGGCCATCCTCCACTGCCTTCCCGGGCCACAGCAGAGAGATGGACTGGAAGAGGAGCAACCGGGACAGAATCCAGCGCCCCGACCGGGACTAGAACCCAGTGTGCTGGCGCCGCAGGCAGAGGATTAGCCTAGTGAGAGTTGTGGCACCAGCCATTAGGGTATTTTTTAAAAGGTAGAATAGGGGTGGGCATTTACTAGTGGTTAATAGACCAAGGCCTCATTTCAGGGTACGTGGGTTCTATACCTGGCTTTGTCTTCAGCTTTTTGCTAATGCATAGACTCCGGGAGGCAATGATGATAACTCAGATAATTGAGTTGTTTGGTTTTGGCCTGGCCCAGTCTGGCCATCACAAGCATTTAAGGAGGCAGCTGGGAGCTCTTGCTCTCACTCTCTTTCTGCTTTGCAAATAATCTTTTTTAAATGATAGATTAAAAGCAAATTGGGAAGTTCCTACATGACAGGTTTTAAAAGTGTGAATTGGGCTAAGAGGCTATTGCAGTAATCTTAGCACAAGACGCTAACTCTGACTCCAATGTTTGCTATCTCAAATGAGACTTACACAGACTGCTGTGATTGATTGACCACTGGGTATAGAGAATAATGGAAAGAATTCAAACCCTTTGGAGAGATTCTGCCCCACTCTTCTGGGAATATTGGACTCTCTGCTGGACTCCATCTCATTCCTGACTTCATGATGGCTTGTCAGCAGTACCATGTAGCTGTCTAGCCTTCAGGGCCCCATGTTTCCCTAGATCCAACGCCTGTACTTTTGCTCTCCCCCTTCCTCTCTGTTGTGACAACACTTTAGGCTCACAAACAGCTGCCTCTCTCAGCCTGTCATTCATTCAAGGCCCCGCATGGACTTAACCTATCATTCTGGAATGTGTTTCTCATGGCTCCCATCTGTATTTCCTACTCCAGATTCTGTTTTCTGCCTCCTGCTCATGTTTTTTGCTCCTATTTTTCTTGTCACCTGGAAAGCCCTTTTCTGCCACTGTAGAGGCTCTGTCCTTTGTTTAAGAGCCATAGGACACCTGATCTGTTCATGAAAACTTTTCATGACTTCTCAGTTTTACATGCCTTTTTCTTCTTTGATGACCCATGGATGTTTGCATCTCTCTTCAGTCACTCAATCAGTTCTTTGACATTCCTAGATATTTATGAACTTATTTTTATCCTTGTTCCTGATTTGCCTTCCTGTACCACCCCCATTCCCCAACCGGGACAGAATCCAGCGCCCTGTCTGGGACTAGAACCCAGTGTGCCAGGGCCACAGGCAGAGGATTAGCCTATTGAGCCGCGGTGCTGGCCTAGAATACCACTCTAAATACTGGTGTCTGATCATTAGCATCACTTGTAGATGAAGTAATCATATCCTCTTAGACTCACCAAACTTCTCTCTTAACGTATTCTCACTATCCAACAATGTTTGACAGTTTTTGAACACCAGAATTTAGTTTCTTTGAAATAGTAAAGTGTTACAATCTTGAGTGTGCTGGAACAGGTTCATAGGGGCTTCAGGAAGCCAGTTGTTAAATTTTCAGGAAGTTCAAGTGCTGTTTGACGTCATCTTAGCTTACAGTTTGAAATTCCCTATGTGGAGGGTACATGTCCCATAGAACATGGCCAATTGTACAAGTCAGAGCAATTTCCCCATTCTGCCACCACACAACTGTCATTCATTATAAATTAGTTTACAAAAAAAAGAGGATCCTGAAATTTCTTTAGTGAGTGATGATCAAAATTCTAGAAGTATTTTTATATATGTACCAAAAATCTTGCATGCATTTGACTAAATGCATCTGTGATAAATGATGATTAAATTTAAAACATTTAAAATATTTAAACTATAAATTTGAGAGGATTTCAAAAAGTTCATGGAAAATGAAATTAAAGAGAGGGAGCAGGAGAGGGGAGGGTTGCATGTGGGAGGGAAGTTATGGGGGGGGGGGAAGCCATTGTAATCCATAAACTGTACTTTGGAAATTTATATTCATCAAATAAAAGTTAAAAAAATTGTAACTTTATTTTGCAGTATAAAGGATTTGGAGCTATTCGTGGTGGGAATCCTTAAAGTTCATTAAAATTGCATATTATTTAAAAATTGCATGTAGATTTTAAAGTTTTCCACACTGACAAAAACTTATCTTTTTTAAAATATTTTACTTATTTATTTGAGAGATAGAGGTGATTATATCAATATATTTAAATTTCACTAGGTAGCAATTGTAAACATTCAAGTTTATTTTGTATACAATGATTAACAACAAAATGTCTCTTCATATTTCTCTATACCTAAGATTGGCTCAGAAAGATATTTCTAATGTAGTGTGTTTCAAATGTAGGCTTACTTTCTTCAGATTAGGAAGGTATCATGCATTTAAACTAAATGCTATTGAAAATAAATTGCATAAATTGAATAGAAAAAGTACCTTTTCAGATTATGTATTTTCCTTTTTAAAAAAAAAAAATACATATTTACTAGAGAAGCAGAGTTACAGACAGAGAGAGGGAGAGACACAGAGAGAAAGAGATCTTCTATCTGCTGGTTCACTCCCCAAATGCCTGCAAAGGCCAGAGATGGGCAAATCCGAAGCCAGGAGTCAGGAGCTTCTTCCAGGTCTCCCATGCAGGTGCAGAGGCCCAAGCACTTGGGCCATCTTTTACTGCCTTCCCAGGCCACAAGCAGAGAGCTGGATCAGAAGTGGAGCAGCTAGGACACAAACTGGTATCATGGGATGCTGGTGCCACAGGTGGAGACTATGCCACAGCACCAGCTCCAGAAACTTATCTTTTAATTTCATTTTCCCTGAATTATTTGCACACATACATAAAAATATATAAACACTTTTTACTTTGACTTACTTTGAAAGTAGATGACAATGTCATTAAATTATATTTCAAAACTGGTTTATGCTTCAATTTGATTTGATTTGAGTTTTTAGTAACAGAGCTATAAAAAGATAGTATGAGAGAAATAAAAGCACTCAGACCTGCTAAAACACTTGTATTTCTTAAAAGCAAGCATACTTAACCCTAACTGACTGGCCAAAGGAATTGTGAGCACAGCCAAGTTTTTAAAAATATGCATTAGTAGAAAAAGCTAGAAAACAAGATCACTCCTTTCTAAAATGAATTTTTTAAGAAAAGAAAGATGCCTCAGTTATGGGTCTGTTTAGGTTTTCTATGTCTTCCTGGTTCAATTTAGGTAGGTTGCATGTGTCCAGGAATCTATCCATTTCTGATAGGTTTCCCTGTTTGCTGGCATACAGGTCCTTGTAGTAATTTCTGATGATTCTTTTTATTTCTGTGGTGTCTGTTGTTACATTTCCTTTTTCATCTCTGATTTTATTGATTTGGGTCTTTTCTCTTCTTTTTTTAGTTAGTTGGGCCAAGGGGTGTCAATTTTGTTTATTTTTTCAAAAAACCAGCTCCTCGTTTGGCTGATTATTTGTAATGTTTTTTTGGATTCAATCCTGTTGATTTCTTCTCTGATTTTGATGATTTCTCTTCTCCTACTAGATTTGGGTCTGGTTTGCTGCAGATTTTCTAGATCCTTGAGATGCAGTGAAAGCTCATCTATTTGGTGCCTTTCCAATTTCTTGATGTAGGCACCTATTGATATAAACTTTCCTCTTAACACTGCTTTTGCTGTATTCCATAAGTTTTGGTATGTTGTGCTGTTATCCTCATTTACTTCCAGAAAATTTTTGATTTCTCCTTTGATTTCTTCTATGACCCATTGTTCATTCAGGAGCATGTTGTTCAATCTCCATGCGTTTGCATATGCTTTAGGGATTCCTGAGTTGCTAATTTCCAACTTCATTCCTTTATGGAATTTATAGAATTGTGTGGACTTTTTGAGACTTCTGAAAAATCCTTCTGCCACTCTAAGCATCATTTTTCCATCTATAACTAGAGCAGGTAGAAATAAATAATTTGTAAGCTCTTTCTCAGTTTTTAAAATTGTTGCATATCAAATTAATGTTTTTAAACTCAACCCATATTTCTAATTAAATATGTGCTTAGCAAAATAGTTGACTTATTTCTAGTTCTTCTGTGCTTTGATGTGTTGTAGATATGTGATACTTCCCTCTGAAATCTATTGAATCTACCAAACCACTAATGGGACATCTTAGGGAAATGGCAAAACCAATTCTACAGCTATGCCAAATGAACCAATTTACGGCTCGGCATGGATAACGCTCTGAAGTTATAAAAGGTACTTAATTGACAAAATCTCTTCTTCAGTAGTTTTACCTGTAATCTAGAGAATGGCTTGGAGGAAATCACTGAGGCTTGACCATGGGATTAAGGTGATATTACTCAGATAAGAAATTCACACTAATTCAGGTTGGTCATCCTAGAGAGAGTTGTATAACTTAGTCATTGATTTCATATACCCAACATTATCTGTAAGCAGCAGACCTCAAGAGGGAGTGATGTTTTCTCCCCAGGCTGCAATGTCTGGAGATAACTATTCATGTCACAACTAGGATTGTATTTGCTAGATTTATCTAGTTCAAATACAGATGTTCAGTTGAATTTGGTTTTGCCTCAACCCTCAATAATTTTAATGCAGTGTGTTTCTTGAGGTATTTCTAATGTACTAAAACATTATTCATTCTCTCTATGAAATTCAAGTTCATTTGGGAGTCCTGTATGGTATCTGACAACAACAGAAGGAAAGGTTGAGGGTTGCTACAGGCATCCTACTTACAGAAACCAGGGATGTTGCTAGCCCTCCTACCGTTAGCCAGGCCACCATTGTCTTGCAGGTGTTTACATTTCACTGATTACAGATGTAGCAAGAATTGTCCAAAACCAAATGTCTGAAGCACTGGGGTTAGGAATTAAGATCTTTGTGAAGTCTATTCATTCAGGTAGTGTAACATTCAATATCTTGGGTTTTACATGTCTCAGTAGTGACACTGGTTTGTTATTTTATTTTTTTTTCTTTTTTGTGGTTGTGGTTCGAAGGAATGTTCTGGAATTTTTTCAAACATTTTTGACATATTTGTACACATTTGTTGGGTGCAATGTGATGATTCAGTTTATGTATACATTTTTTAATGAGCAATTCAGGGTGATTAGCATATCTCTCATTTCAAACCTATTATCTCTTCACAGTGGATCATGGAAAATCCTCTCTTCTGGCTAATTGGAAATATACATTGCATTATTGTTCACTCCTTCCATATTCTAATTTGATATGTTTCTGTCTGAACATGTTTAGAGACATCATTGTAGGTAAAAGGTGGAAATAATCTTACCTGTCCCATCTTCTGTTGGTTTTATGAGAGATCTACAAAAGCACATTGAAAAATTTCTAGAAAGCAATATTGAAGAATAAGTCCCTCATCCCCATTTTCAAGTTGAAATTCACTTAAATTCCTATAACAGAACAAGCTCTCTTAGGGTCATCCTTGAAATCATAATCATACCAAAAATGCCACAATTTCAGGATTAGGTGGTTAGCACAATGAGTGCAAAGATGAATAAGGGAAAATTCAGAATATTCAATTACCTAGACTTTTGAGTCTAGAGAAGCACACCAGACATGAAGTTAAATGACAAGCTCAGCAGTGTATGTTACTGCTATAAAAACATGTTCATCACTATAATAACTTACCCCCAAATTGGGCTCAGAATCAGTGCATAAATTCATACCTTGCACTCTGAAAAGACTTGTTTTCCATAATAAAAAGAAAACTCTGTGGCAACTCACCTGTTCTGTGACCTAGGCATTTACAATGCTGCTGGCATAATTGGTACTGAATTTCCTGACACCTCACTGCAACTCTGTATGTTGTATGGTGTTGTGTGAGAGCTCAGCCCTTTTTGTCCTGTTGGCAGCAGTCAGTTAGATGTATCACAATTTCTCTGGCTCCTGTCAAGTTACTTATTTTTGTTAATTAGTGATAAGAGTTTCTTTTCCTTCCCATGTTTCCAGAGAGGCAGTGGTACCATGCAACTCCAATCTAACTGCTAAGGGCAGGATATAGGGTGAATGAGGAACATGTGTGGAGGTTAGAATCTATTTCATGACCTTGCCCGATGTTTTTGCCTGGATTAAATGTAGGTGTGATTGTTAGTATCCTCTTTATCTACTTCTAATGCCCAAACAGGTTATAATAATGGAATCGGGGCCAGCGTTGTGGTGTAGTGGGTAAAGCCTCCACCTGTATAGCTGGCTTCCCATGAGAGCGCCCATTGAGTCCTGGCTGCTCCACTTTCATTGCAGCACCACCCTGCTACTGCACCTAGGAAAACAGAGGAAGAAACCTCCATGTAGTGACAGAATGTGGTAAGCATTTAAGAAAGAAACAGGGCCGGCGCCGCGGCTCACTAGGCTAATCCTCCGCCTAGCGGCGCCGGCACACCGGGTTCTAGTCCTGGTTGGGGCGCCGGATTCTGTCCCGGTTGCCCCTCTTCCAGGCCAGCTCTCTGCTGTGGCCAGGGAGTGCAGTGGAGGATGGCCCAGGTGCTTAGGCCCTGCACCCCATGGGAGACCAGGAAAAGCACCTGGCTCCTGGCTCCTGCCATCGGATCAGCGCGGTGCGCCAGCCGCAGCGCGCAGGCCGCAGCGGCCATTGGAGGGTGAACCAACGGCAAAAGGAAGACCTTTCTCTCTGTCTCTCTCACTGTCCACTCTGCCTGTCAAAAAAAAAAAAAAAAAAGAAAGAAACAGAAGGAATTTGCTCAAAACCCATGGGAGGGGTATGCTCTTAAACTATTCTGACCCAGAGAAATGGAACTGAATGCTGCATATCAAAAAGCCTTCACTGGAAATTCCCAGTCCCATTGGAGTTACGAAAGAAAACCAGGAGAAATAATTGACTATCAAGCACAATCCATGCACATATGCGTTGTGTAATTGGATGCACAGCCATGATATATCTACAACTAATGCTTTCTTTCTGTAACATAGCAAGAGACATAAAGTTCACTGTGGGCATCTGTGGCCAGTTTCTCAACCTAGAAATGTGTAGCAAGGTCTACAAAGTTTAGATTTACCCAGAAGACATGCATTGTTTACATTTCTGGGTTAAGTGTTTTACAGTTCTAATGAAAAGAATTAAATTTAAGCTAATTTGAGTGAAGTGAATTTCATTACATTCTCCCATTCTGTGTCTTTGGCCTGTTTATGAATGTTTGACAAAGCACTTTTGTATTCAATGTACTTTAATTTAATTGTGGGATTAATTTCATTAACTTTTTAAACTTTTGTGGATTTTACATGTATTTGTATCATGAAGGACGGACCATTGGGTTGACACCTCTGTCTTATCTGAAAGAATTACATAGTAAATAAATCATATAAAGGGCAAGATGATGAAATTAAAATCCGTGCTTAAACTCCCATTATTTACAAATAAATGAGCTTTGCTAAGAATAGACTGGAAGCAAAACTTAATTCATAGATTTATGGACACAAAAAGTAGTCAGTTGAAATGAGTTATGGGCTGGGCACCTATTTTAAGTTGGTCTAAATTCCTATAACTATTACAGAGGAGAGAGGAGGAAGCAAACAGAGACTTTGTTATCACAATTGCCAGTCTAATCCAGGAATGCAGTGCAATACCAAGGCAAGATCATCACCTCCTCACAGCACACATCTATATTAGATATAGATATCTAATATGTGGATAATTTAAAGACCTGGGGGCTTTATTTTTATGTAAATTCTGATATGTGTCTAAAAACTTTAATGTCCAATTCATGCTGATGTATTAAATTTGTACCAATTTAAAAATGATGTTATTCTTAATACTCTTTTCTTGTTTCTTTCTCTCTTTCTACTCACATACACACAGAAACTTAACCTAATTCATTCTTTTCTTTTTGATATCTTTTCATAGCCGTCAATGAGTTTATGATGAAATATTTCTGGAAATCTGAATCCTCTTTTTATTTTAAAATGCCTTCTATGGGTCAGCATGGTGGACAGCCACCACCTGCAACTTTGGTATTACATGTTGGAACACTTGTTTAAGTCCCAGCTGCCCCACTTCCCATACAGCACCCTGTTAATGCAGCCAACAAAGCAGCAGAAGATAGTCCAAGTACTTTGACCCCTGCCACCCACCTGGGAGACTTTGATGAAGTTCCAGGCTCCTGGCTTCAGCCTGGCCCAGCCCTGGGCATTATGGCTATTTGGAGAGTGAATCAGAGGATAGATCTCTCTTTGTGTGTCTCCTTCTCACTCTGTAACTGTGTCTTTCAAATAAATGGAACACATCTTTAAAAACATGCCTTGGAAAGATTGATTTTATAAAGAACCTCCAAGCTCCATACTTCTTCCCTTAATATCATTACTTTGTATAGCATGGTGTATGCTATAAATTAGCCATTGTAATATTTTATTGCTAAATATTGATACATTAATATATATTACATTTACATTTATCCCAATTTTTAAAAATATTTATTGATTTATTTAGAGGTAGAGTTACAGAGATAATGTGAGACAGAGAGAGAGATCTTCCATCTGCTGGTTTACTCTCCAAGTGGCTGCAATGGCTTAGGGCTGTGCCAGACCAAAGCCAAGGGCCAGGAACTTTATGCAGATCTCCCATGTGGGTGACAGGGGTCCAAGCACTTGGGAAATGCTCTGCACATTAGCAAGGAGCTGGATTGGAAGTGCAACAGCCAGGACTTGAACTGCTACCCATATGGGATGCCAGCACCACAGGCGGCAGCCTTACTGGCTATGCCACAGTGCCGACCCCTCATTTATATTTTAAGAACGAATTATATAAAAAAATGAACCTACATATATTGGGAAAAAGTGAAGTACAGAAGCTGAAGTTGAAGGGATATTACATAAAATGTTTAGCTCCACATAGTAATCTTTCAATTTAGACCCAGAGGAAATTCAGTGCCCTTAACAAAAACAAATGGCCTATCATTTATGCATGTTTCATTTAAGGTATACAATTGGTTACACAATTTAACAAAACAGAATCTGTCTTCAGTTGAACTAAATGGGGATTTATCTGATTTATTTCACCTCTGGGAATGTAATAGACAATCTATCTCATAACTCACCGAGGAAGTGGTGAATGAGGAACCCAGGTAGCCAAGAAGAGCAGTTCTACACATGATAGATGCAGTTCCAGCAAGTGGATTGAGTTTTGCCTTTTGAAGAGAGTTATTAGAATAATTCATTAAAAAACCTGTGGAATTAATTGTTCAGGTATGTGAAATTTAGATGGGCGG